CAGCTTGTACCAACAGTTTTTGAGCGGGGGGGGTTCAGCATGAGGGAAGAGGAGCCTTTAGCTTTTAACTAGAGCGCCTGTATTACACGTTGCTAGCTTAGCGTGAAACGTTTGAGTTTTGCGCTCTTTATACAGACAGTTTTTGAGTGTGTGTGGTGTTCAGCTTGAGAGAAGAGGCAGCGTGAGTGCTGCCTTGAGCATTTTAGCTAGAAAGCCTGTATTTCGTGCCACTTGCATAGTGCTACGTCAGTGCTGGGTGGTGGTGGTGGGGGGGGGGGGTTGTGGCGCAAGTTTGGTTTGGTAGGCGGGGTGCTCAGTTCTGTTGATGGGGTGGGGCACCCCGCTTGTATAATGGTAGGGGAAACACTGAAATGTATGCTTTATACCTGCACAATATGTAACTACTTTGTAAAATGTGTCCTTGAGGGAAGAGTGTAACCTGGATTAAAAGTGTGGATTATTGTAACCTGGATTAAAAGTGTGGATTATTGTAACCTGGATTAAAAGTGTGGACCATTGTAGTGAAGCCTTCGTCTTCAACCATCGACAGAGGCCTCATGTCAGTGACGATCATGTTCAGGATGCTTTCAGTGAAGACAGCTGCTTGTTGTGGTGTCCATGATGTCTGTCCATCATGAAGGCTGTCATTGTTTGTTGTTGTTTTCTGGAATGAGAGTAAATATGTATAATATATTATATTTACAGTAACTCAAGGACTGGTAAGATGTTGTTTCACTTACAGTGTTAGGTTCAGGCAAAAGTAGCTAAAAGAGCAATTAAACACACACACATATATAAATTACTTAATTACACACATTTGAGTAGATTTAATAAATTACTTTAATTCCTGTTTAAATGCAATTCACCCTGTCATACCTGCAGTGTCTTCAGACTTTGCCAGGAATTAAAAGTTGAAGCTTAATCATTAAATTATTATCTTTGTGTTTGATTTATTTATAAATCACATTTAAACACTGCATGTACCAATAAAATAAAATAAAAAGTAACACACATACTCTATCACCGTCACTAATCAGCAAACAAACAAGCAGCATCTTCAGCTACAGAGAGACTGACGTTACGTTTTCTCTCTTGGAAACAGAACAATGTGTTAAATTGTAGAGACTCACCTGCAACACATGACAAGTTGTATCAGCTGTTCAGCTCCTTTGTCCTCCTCGTAATTCCGACATGTTTACCTTTCATCTCCGTGGTTCTCCCGTGTCGTGACGTCACTTTTCAAAGCTGCATGTTTCAGTTTTTATCTTTGTGAAGAGCTCCCACACTTTGGAGGACTTGGGTCGAACAGTTTTCGCTGCGTCGGTCATTTGTAAAATTTACTTAATTTCCTTTGAAAACAGCCTCTGCTCTGCTTCCTCCTCCCCCCTCGCTCTGTTCAACTCGTGCTGCAGAGGTTTTTTTTTTTCAAACTTTATTCAGTCAGTCAGCATTGACAATGCACTGCCCGTGAACAAAACGGCTCAGAAGCGCCGTGAAAGACGCTTAATCGCGCGACACAATGAATCGATAATGAAATTTGTTGCCAACACTTTTAGTCATCGATTTTTATCGATTCGTTGTTGCAGCCCTAAAGAGAACTTGAAGATCCGAAGAGAAGAAGAATTTTTCTCAGCTCAGCCTGGACCTGAAAGCCAACTCAAGTTTCCAAGATTGGATTTTATTGAATGCAGTATGAAATATTCTTCAAAAGCAACTGAGGGATGCTTGTCACCAGTTTCATCAGTCAAGGATCCCCTTTGACAAGGGGTCTTCCAGAAGAGATGGTATGACACATACTAATAGCTGTCCTAAAATAAAATAAAATAATCAAAATTGCTTATAGCTATATACACCAGTAAAACGTTAGGACTCTTGAGAACATTTTGAGTTATGGGAATTTACATGTCATATTAAATTTGGTATTTTAAAAGTCTTAATACATTTTAGGAGAGTTTCCCCATTTTTGCTGCATTATGGGATTCTGAAGTTGCTTTTGTATTTTTTGATTTTTCTCCCTTTTGTTTGATGAAGTTTTTGAACACACTTTAGATTTTGACTTTTTTGATTTTTCAAACTAAACTTAATTTTTGATATTTCACTCCAGAGGATTCTGGGAACACGAAGTAAACTTCTAGATGTCGGCTGACGGCTCATCGAGTCCAGTAACGATCTTGGGTTTCTGAGTGTTCTCTGGGGTCTCGGAGCAGCAAAAGTCTTTCCCTGAACCTAATCACCTTACCCTACTTTGGCTCAACGGAGTGAGGATTAATACATTTGTATTTTTCCTCAACTGAGCTTATGGATTTATAACTCTCTGTTTTTGTTCATTTGAGCTTTGGGGATTTACAACTCTGGTTCAGCTCATCGGAGCAAAGGAATTACAACACGATCGGACAATTTACCCCTCGGACATGAACAATTAATTAACATGAACCCCTTTCAAGCAACATGTGGACTCTTAAATACTGATTTTGCTATGTAACCCAATGTAATCACTGTTTTGAATTCTGCTATAACGCTGTTCCCCTGCAAATCATTAATTAAACACAAAGCATGAGAAATTAAGAAAGTTCAGGATCATTTTTGTCACCGTCTCATGTTCATGAATTTTGGATGCCTGGTTCAACTCAACAAGTAAAGGAGGTTTTAAAAGGTTACTAAGCTTTGAATATTTAAACAATACCCTTGAGTCCTGTTCCTGGATTCTAAAAACAACCAGATCGGTGAGAATTGCAATTCTACAATGAGGAGGAACGGCTGTTAATGTGAGTTTCCTTGTGATCAACGACTCAACTTCAGCTACTTAATTAGATGAATCAATGGGTGAGATAAGGGTGTGACTCACAAATGGAGGTCGTTAACAGCCTGGGTAAGTCCTTCTCACATACATTCTAAGTTGAACTAGTCTACAATCACTTTGGGTAATATTCAAGTTATAGATAGAGTTCTTATACCCCTTAGAGGAGAGGCTGCAGTGGAGATTTGGCCATAACCAAATGGTAGCTCCGCTGGGTAGAAAAAAACAATATCAATCTCATCAAATCACGATTAATGGCATTTATCCATTTTTGCTGCTCATGTATCTGCACTGAATTGATACGTATTGTATCGGTAATTAACCAGAGATGCACTACTGTACTATTTAAAATTTGAGTGGCCTGTCTTGCTTTTAGACCACAATTAAAAACTGTTCTATTTTTTAAGTAATCTCCTCTGAAATGTTTGTTTACTTTCAGAGTTCAACTGGCAGTACTCACATCGACCTCAATCAAAAGCCTCAAACAAATTAGTTGGTCTGAACTAAATCAAACACACTGGGTATGAAAACATCTTACCAATCCTGAAACACAGTGATTGGAGAACTAAGGGCAGCACTTTTTTCCATTACATGGTACAACATGGTTCTATTACCCAGTGAATCCCCTTAGCCTTCAATATTCTCTGCACACAGTACTCTCTCAATATAGACATGATCAGTTATTCATTATTGCAGAAGGTTTGAAGCAGTGAGTGCATGTTTATCAAGCTACATTCAATTGTTGTGAGAACTGTGATACAAAGCAAAGTAACTGAAAAAAAAAAAACTGCACCCACTTTCACAACAGTTAATTTTTTGCTCAAACTAAAAAAAACTACTTAAAGCTTAAAAAAAGCATAATCGGAAAATAAAACCTGACACATGGTGACTTTTGACAAAGGACAAAGTGAAAAGCTTTCATTTGTATCCAGTATTCTGTTGCATTTAATGAGTTGACTCAAATGTCCCCAGAGAGAAGATGACATTACAGGCGGACAGTGTGACAGATCACGTACACTGACTGATGGTGGTAAGTGGAAACAGATGTGAATTGTGAGAGAAAATGACTGAAACATTTCATTTTTAGATGCCGCTCTGGTTGCTAGATGAGAAGCTAAGGCATTTTACATTTGTGTGTGGGCACGTAATTGTGAAAATAAAAACTTTTATGTCCTGTGAGTGAAAATGAACCCAAAATGCAGAAGTTTGTTGATGAGACTGACATTAATCCTCTTTGCATCTGATAACAACTACAACCACAACAGTTGCAACAGCTAAACATCTGTGCAAATGTAGATTAAAACTGTAAAACTTATCAAAATAATTAAAACTGAGTGGTAATTTTTTCAAGATGTTGAGTCAGCAAAATATCAGTTTTCTGCACAGACGAATGATTCCTTTTTAAGTGCCTGGTGTTTTTTGAAGGAATGCAAATGCCCACCACTATTCATGGCAACTTTGTACACACAATGATTACTTTCTGAGAGTTTCATTAAAATTGGCACAGATATTTTGCTAACAGATCAGGGTTCACACCATGCCAAAGTTTGAAACAAAGACGTCATGCAATGAGTAACACTTCTTTGTTGACAATGATTCTCAGCCCAATTTTAGCTTAATATCTGTAAAGATTGAATGAGTTAGAGCCATTTTTGTGTTTATTATTATTTTTTAGCTTTTCTTTGGCTGTGGTGGCCATCTTAAAATGGATTCACTTCAAAAGATAATCAATCGCAGATTCAATTATCACTTCCAAAAAGTTTCAATAAAATGTGTCTCGGGGGTTCATGAAATATTCTGCTAACAGTCAAATGTAGACACACACGCCCACTCCACCCATGCACACATGTAAAACCATTAATGCTCATTTTGCTCCTTTCTGCAGCAGAGAGAGACCAGAACAAAGTTGATTCCACCATATTTGAAATTGTTGCTGCTAAGAAAAAAATTAAAATCTACCATGAATTGCTATAAATTTGTAAATCAAGTTCCAAGCATATTTAAAAATCTCTTTGCTAATATTACCTTGTTGATCCCTTGCTTAAATGTTTCACAAACTCATGGATGTACAAAGCCCAGTATATACTGACGTCTTAGACCATGATATATAAAAGCAGCCTGACCCTCACCTGTGCACACAACAACACATGCTCACATCAAAGGCGTCTGTCTGTGTCAAACAGGTCAGTGTGAGTCCACTTACTGACAGAAAGGCAGCAGAGACAGCAGGGTCTCTTTAGTGGGGTGGGCTGTGAACTCCGGCAGCGCCTGGATCAGTTTGTTCATCACCATGCGAAGGTAGCCCTGTAGATGCTTCCTCCTTTCCTCCACAAACTTGGCATCCTGCAGACATGAAGAAACAACCAGAGAAGAAGGACGGTTAAATCTGTGGTAAGCAATGCTTTCTGTGATTTCAAATTAATTGAATATAGCCAAAGGTAGTTGGAACAGGTAGGGGTCTGCATATGAAGTACAATAGTCCCTTGTTTATTGCGGGGGATCCGTACTTCAAAGCCCAGCAGTAAGTGAAAAAACGCAAAGTAGGAACAGTAGTACAGGTGGTAAGTAGTAGTGTTTTAAACCCTTTCCACACTCTTGCAATATTCTAAACAATGTTTATAAACTTTAAACACTCTAAAAGAGCACATAATGTTATGATTTCAGCTCCCTGCTGGCCACGCCCTCTTCTCAGCTACAGAGCGAGATCAGCTGATCAGCTGAAGCTGCAGGAGGAAGCTTCTCCTGCAGATGTGGGCTGTACATAGGTGCAGCAGGTGCTAAATAATTTAAAATAATTTATTTTAAATAAAAATTTCATGCTGATTGTGTGGCTCATCCATCACTCAGCCAATTGTGTGTCATGTTCAATACTATTTTGCAAAACCGCGATAGAGCGAGTTCGCGAAAAATGAACCGCAAAGTAGCGAGGGACTATTATACATAAAACAGACCCACATTTACACAGTCAGTGTAGAGGCAGAGGCTCAGAGCCACATGGCCCAGCGTTAGCATGGCTACTCAGCATCCACCACAACCCAGAACAAAGCTCGGGAAAAGTTTTACTTGCTTAGCACCGGAGCAAAGAGCCATCATGTGAAGGCGACATCCTGTTCTTAAAAACTGCTTTGCATTTGATCTGAGATAATATACTGTAAGTTTTATTTGATTTGCATTAAAAGAAACATTTGGGTTTTCGGTGTGAGAAAAATTAAGTGTTTGTAAATATTAAGGAAAACATGTTTTTTTATCCCCGTGACCCAAAATGGAATAAACGGGTAAAGATAATGGATGGATGGACGTTTTTTTATATAAAATATTGTAAGTTATATGACTATTTAAAAAATTTATTCAAAATGATAGTTCTGCTAACAAAAGAGAAAAATGACTGAAATTCACTTTTAGTTGGAAACAATATTATAAATACTTGTTGATTAACGTTTAACATATGAACTTTACCAGGACTTTCTAAATTTGTTTTCAAAGTTAAATTGCACTAGTGATGTCATTTATATATGAACTCCTTGAAATACTATAAAGAATAAATAAAATATAGAATGCATTGCTCCTAGAAGGCAAAAACTGGCTTAGAAAAACGAGAGACGATGCCTCCAATAATAAAATAACTTGAAAACAATTTATTTAGAATATTTCTGTCATTTTATTTCAGTTTTCAGTAAACTAAAATGTTGGAAAGTCTCGGTGCTTAATTGGCAAATCAAACAATGCCAGAACGCAAATAACGGGGATGGGGGAGGGATTTGGAGGTCCTTCCCCAGAAAATTTTGAATAAAGTAGATGCCATTTCCTGCGTTCTGGTGTATTTCAATGGGTTGTTAAACATCTACGTTTACTTAGATTTGTAAACACTTGATTCAATAATTATTTTAGAGAGCAACAAATAAGTAGCCTGACCAACAGCTCTCCTAGTGTGAATAGAGCACACTCCACTTCCCTCAAGCATTCTAACTAGGGATGGGGTCGATCCGATCCAGTATCGGTATCGGCCTCCGATACCAGCATAATTTACGTATCGGATTTTCCGATACTCCTGCCGATATTTCCGATCCATGATGCAAGTTGGCTTAAAACTATGGAATGGATTTCCTGAACGGCGGCGTGTCTCATGAACCCAGAGTAATAAGACCCGCCTCACATCCAGGAAATCCAGTTCATAGTTTGCAGCCAGCTACAACGTGAGGACTGAGTTAGCAGCACTGTGGCTAACAGCTAACAAACTTTTCATCTAAACATGTCCGCTGTGTGGAAGTATTTTACACTAAAAACACCACAAGACAGCATCGTGCAATGTCTGCAGAGCCATAGCAACACATTAAACCACGTTAAAGTTAGTTTTACGTTGGACATTCGAGCTTCGTGGCTTCAGCGGGGCAGTACTCTTTGGTCAAACTGAAAGAGGCGACTCGACACCGGCCAGCCGCGTCCAATCTGCCCCGCTCAGTCTGCCCGTCTCCGAGGAGGGACAGACTGAGCGGGGTAGATTGGACGTGGCTGGACGTAGCATTGAACCCCGCACCCCGAGGGGCAGAGATTTTTTTTAAGGGTAGAGGCGGAAATGCTTACTTGAAGGAGCAGCTTTTATGTGACATTAGGCAGCTTATAAGTGGCTGTTACGTGTAAAATTTGTGTTTAAGCAATTATTTTCAGATTACATATCCAAAATAGGTTTTATTTGTTTAAAGCAGTGAAATTTGTTCATAATAATACTGTTCATAATACTGACCCTACCTTAAAGGATTTTTTATTCCATTATTCCATTTTCATACTATACAAAACAATCTGGCTCAACACAATAGCGTAATTGCAACAGTTTGTACAAACATTAGGCTGATGAGCTTCTGATTCAGACATCATTCTCAGCAAACACTCATGTTTACAATAACATCAACGAGGACACGCAGCTTCCTGAATTAGTATGCACAAACTGCAGTAAGGTGTTGTGAAAATGTTTATTAAGAATTAGCTTCAATGCACAAAGAGGGGAAAAACAGTCCAGAGGCTCTTTTCATGCATCTTAATACACAGACTAGACAAATACAAGTCCCGTTTCACCAATGCTGTCATGTTTTTATAGAGATCACAAGTTTACAGACTTTTGCCATTCCAGCATGGAGGATGCTCACTATCTCAACTATGAGGAGCTCGCCTGCGTTGAAAATGACAGTGTCAATGAAAAAAATCTAGGAAAACACAAACCAAACTTGAAATTGTCAAAAGATATGCTGTTGTTCTCAGACCAAATGGAGAGTTTCGGGTTATTCTCTCATTTGGCTCTTGTACCTGCTAGACTTCAGGAAAACATCTCATTACTGGATGAAGGCGAGCAAGATCCATTTCACTTTAGCTTCTCGTAACAAGATAAATGTTTTGGAAAGTGTTTTTTTTTTTCATGTTCTGAAATGTGTTGGAGCTGACTGTCAGCTACTACAACATCACATAGCTTAATATCTGCAAAACTGACTAAGAGACACTTCTGTGTTGGCTAATGTTAATTAGTTGTGGTGGCCATCTTGACTTGGGTTGGCTCCAAAAGTTCAACAGTTGAAGATGTATCTCTAATACTTAATTTCGGAGAATTTCATTAAAATCTGTGCAATGGTTCATGAGATATTTTGCTAACACACAAAAATGATTAGTACCACTTTTCGGTGGCGGGAAGTAATTTCTTAATTGGGATTTTATGTACAAACGTGCACAGGTCTGGTTGGAGGGTGGTTAGATGAATGTACTTTAGTGAAAATGTTGGAAACTTAATTTGGGAAACCAAAATGCTTGTTTAATTTGTAAAAATATTGATAGAATGTTTATAATATTTACCAGTTTCAATGCTATAACCAACATTTTTCACAAGTTGAAAAATAACTAAAGCAGGGATGATGACGAACGAACTTCTGCTGAGTCAGTAACAACGTGTCCTAACAAATCTGTCTAGAAAAAGTGGTAACAAAAGTTTTCACACATGCATATTCCACTCGCAGGCACAAGAGCTGTCGTTGTCAGCAGATCTTTGACATTATCTTTTTACATTTTGCCCATTTGAGCAAAAAGTTAGTAGATGGCATGCAGCACAGTGGCCACAGAGGACTTTAAATGAGTTAGAAGATAAATGAGATAAGAGGTTCACTGTAGCGCCAATACTACATATGTACTCAGAGTTTAAGAGGACAGAAGTGGATAACTACCCTCTAGTGCATGCTGGGTAAAACAGACTGGGTAGGAGTGGGTAAGTTTAGTGTGTCAGATTACACAGGGCATGCCTTGGTGGGTTTTATGCTAAGTCAACACAATAAAAGGGACACAGAGAAAGCTTTTACAGATTTTAGAGAAGTAATGACACTAATGGACATCACAACAGATTCAGCCCATTGTGGAAACAGAGAGGGGGAGTGAGTAGGCCAGGTTTTGTCAGAGGAGAACCTGCTGTGATACATTCATGTCCGTGCAAAGATAAATATGTCCTGCCACATCTATTTATATACAGCTTAATTTTGCAGCAATCTGAACATGTAATATAAAGTAGTCCTCTGCTACTTGGTGGTTCGTTTTTCATGGACTCGCTCTATCACAGTTTTTCAAAGTAAGAATGGACATGACACATAATGGCTGATTGATGGATGAGCCGCACAATTGGCAATGATTCTTTATTTAAAATAAATTATTGTAAATGATTTAGCACTTGTGTTTAGTCCACAGCTGTGGGAGAAGCTTCCTCCTGCAGCTGATCTCCATGCAGAGTAGAGAAGGCCAAGAATGGCAGAGAGCTGAAATCATGACATGCTGTGCTCTTAGAGCGTTTAGAGTTTAGAAACATTGTTTAGAATATTGCAAATGTGGCAAGGGTTTAAAACACCTCTCTCTTTCTCACTCTCTCTCTCTCTCGATGGATGGATGGATGGATGGATGGATGGATGGATGGATGGATGGATGGATGGATGGATGGATGGATGGATGGATAGATGGATAGATGGATAGATGGATAGATGGATAGATAGATAGATAGATAGATAGATAGATAGATAGATAGATAGATAGATAGATA